CTCCCCACAATGGGGGACTCTGGGCGGCTTACATTCTAGAAGCATGGGCAATAAAAAACAAATATGGTAAATATCCACTGGAGAAAAAAATTATAAAGAAGAAATGTCATGATAGAAGGATTGTATAGAAGTGATCACCAAATTGAAGATATACACAAAAGTTTGGTCACTGAATTATAGTTAGACATTCTGAAAAGTAGCATTAGATGCATTCTAGAAAATATTACTAACAGCAAAGCTGCAAGACTTAATGAAATACTGGCAGAACTGTTTAAATTCAGAAAAGATGATGCTTTTAAAATGCTTAATGTATTTTTAAGCATATACAGAAAACTGAGCAGTGACCAGGGGGCTGGATGTTATCAATTTATATTCCAATACTCCCGGAAAAAAAGACAGTGCAAAGAATGTTCAGACTGTCAAACAGCTGACTTACAGTAGTTCATTTTCTAGTAAGATAATGTTCAAATGTTGCAGTTCAGACTTCAATAATACATGGAACAAAACCCGTAGTTGTACAAGTCAGATTCAGAAGAGGCAAGAACACCCAAGATTGCATTGCTAATAACTGGTGAGTAATCAAAAAGATAAGAGAGTTCCATAAAGATGTCTATTTTTGGTGTATTGATTACACAAACCCTTGTCCTCAATAGCCCTTAAAAACAATAGACATTATTGGGTGGACAATGCTGAAATCAGATTAACTACCCTCTGCAAACAAGAACTGGGGTGTTGTATTCAGTCAGCAAAAACAAGTCCTGGTACTGTCTGCAGCTCAGATCATAAACTCATTCTTGCAAAACAACAACAAGATATTTTAATGTATGCATTTACTTTTCTATAGTATCGTAGGCTGGGTACAGGTTGGACACACACTTCAGCAGACATAAAGTATCATTTCATTATCAAGTACTAGATATCCAAATTTTTCTCCTTTGGTTTACCACAGTAAACAATGCACTCTTATCAGCAAATAGTTTTTGTAGACCAATTAAAATGGCCCCTGCTCTTGCTTCTGTCTTTATCATCATCAACTAGGGAAGGAGAAGCAGGAAGATCACCATGCCTTCTAACAATGAACTCAGATGGTTGAGAACCTATCCCAAACTGGAGCAAACTGGAGATTAAAATTAAGGTAGTAATTTCTGCATACTTGGGGGACTTACTACATGTGTAAGTTATACATTAAAGGAAAACATTTCCTTAAAAGCAAAAACAAAAAACAAAAGGAGTCTGTGAAGTTGGTGATGTTTGAGCCTGAAGACAAAATAACAGTTGTGCAAAATCCCTTCTATAGTAGGTATTTTGTGGAACCTCTTCTCTATAGATGAGGTTCCAGTTCAATACTCCCTAAATTCTGCATATTGATCCAGCTCACTGTCTCTTATTAATGATATTTATAAACTTCTTTCCATCTGAATTACCTCCTGGATATTTGTTTTCTAGATTACCAAGTCTTGTTCACAGAGCAGTACTGTAGTGCCATCCACCAGCTGTTCTTTCAGGTTAATCCAAAAGTTCCTACCTATATGCACATCAATAGTGTCCAGAATTGTATCGTTTTATCTTTTTGCAAAAGTTGAGATGAAAGCGTGGCTGTGTGT